CGGCAGTTTAAATCGTCGCTATGGAATTCCTCTTTTATCGCTAAAGCGGCACGATTGAGTACTAGACATATTAATGATTAATTAAGATAAATTGATGGCGTAATTTGATAATACGATAACATTCGTATCATGTATATTCATAATATTCAGCACTGTTCTTAGATATGTGTATTTAGAATACATGATACAATTCATTGCATAAATAATCATTTAAATCGCATGCAAATACTTGAGTAAGAAACACGAGTTCAGACAGTTACTCATATTTACTTACGAAAAAATTTAAACAATATTATTTTATATCGAGGTAATTAATATTTTAGATCATCTTAAGAGTGGTTGTCTTAATAAATAAAAAATTATTATAATTGCTCTTCTTTATTTATACCATATATACTTTAATATTAATGCATTATAACGTTTATATTAAATTAATATAATGATATTAAATAAATTTGTACACAATAAAAAATTTTGTGTTAAATTTAACATATTTCACATGTCCCAATTTATCCACTCTAATTTTAATATTAATTTAACAGAAGGCAAGTATGTAAATAAATAACACAAATAATATGTTTAAAAATTAACACAAAAGTGTAACACCTAAACTTTATCTGGAAATAAAGTTTATGTTAAATTAACATATTTATAATGTTAAATTTAATTCATTTTAACATGTAACATATTTCATCAAAAATTCGTTTACATATTAATTGTGTTGTTTTAACTCTTAGAAATGGTGAATATTAACTCAGTGCAGAAATGTCAAAATAACGCAATGATAATATGTTACATTAACATAAGAGTATGTTAAAAATTTAACACAAAAATTTTTACACGAGAAAATTTTAACAAAAATATAAAATGTTTTTTACTGTGTAAATTTAAATAATTGCTTGTTAACTCTGACATATTTTGAATTTGATTTTTTCTCGAACAAGTTCTTCCTAAATTGGCCAAAGAGGGGGAATATGTTCCAATTTTCTCTTCGTCTTTTGCATTGTAATGTTACAATTTTACGATAGCAGTTGCGATGTCGCGAGATTGTTTCCGGTTGTTACTATTAATAGATGCGTATCCTGTCTCCGCGACGGGACGCGTGGACAGTTCTTCGATCACGAAAGTCCGACAAAAGCAGGGCGGAGTGATACCGTGTGCGGTTCAATGAACGTGCGTGCGTGCGTGCGTGCCGCTTGGTCCTAGATAAAAGGGGAATGCTAGACGAGACGACCGGGCACTCCTCGCTCCAGCGGATGTCGGTCACACGGATTTGCATTACAGCTCGTGCTTCTCTCTTTCTGGAGAATTCGTTTTCGCGTTGAAACTTTAAATCTATTGACGATCTGTGAAAGGAGAAATAAACAAATAGAAAGACTGCAAAGTTTATACAAAGTTTAAAACGACATTAGAAAGCTTACACCTCGGCTTACACACATAGATTAGAGCAACAGATGATTGCTCGAAACAGATCAAATGGCCAGTATTTCGTGTATTTATATAGCTAAAGACATTAAATAAAATTTGCTTACTTGAATATTTATTTTACGTACGTGATTTAAGCATTGTTTTAAATAATGTATTATTTAAATTTTTTAAATGTTTGTTTTTAATTATTTATGACACAGTAGTTTTTTCATCGCGAAACAATTTGTTATTAAAAAGTTTAATAAGGTTAAAATTTTATTTCATCGATCTTACAACAAATTATTTAATAATAATTTGGCAATCTTTGATATTAAACACATGCGAATGAAAATTATTAACATAACGTAAATATGTTTAAATGATTTTTACAAGATGTTTCCATATTATTTAAAATAATAACAAAACATCAGATAAAATTTATTTCAATTTAATATATTAAACAAATCTCGCTTTTTTAAAAAAAATTTTTGATTCAAAGTTTTAATCATCTCGTGACATTTTAAAACTTGTTGTTTATTTTGAAATTTTTATATTAATATTGCATAGTTAAATAAAATCTGCAAGTTTATTAGGATTTTTCTGTTTTTAAAGGTTTATCGATATTTTCATAATATTTGCTTCCGAAAATGATTGACGTATGTCACTTATTGAATCAGATTTTAAATTTTTTATGAAAGTATTCTATTTCTTTTAAAAATCCAAATTATACAAGATTAATTATACGTATAACTGTTGAAAATCCGCGAAAATAACATTTGATTTCACTACAAGTTACTTAGCATTTTAACAGCAAGTCTATTATAATTATACGAGCGATATCACATATATAATCATTATACCAGTCAATTTATCTGCATGCTATAGCATTAGCAAATTCCAAAAGGACATTTGAATTATTGCTATATCATATTAATGCTGTTTTATAAAAATAAAAATGCAAGAATGCCGCTGAAATATTCAGTGACTGGTATAATAAAAGTGCGGAATTTGAAAATATAGTTCACTCATTTTAAAGTTAATTGTAAACCCTAAAAAACTGAACTTTATCTAACAATGTATTATTTTTCGTTTCAGAGGGATAGTTCCACTATTTAGTACGAGAAAACACAACTTCCACGATGCCGAAATCGGTATGTATTCTCATTATCATTTTGCTTTATATTGATATAGTGGCGAACGCGCAATCTTAAATTATCGATAATATTAACTAGATTAAAACTAGATTAAAACTTTTCAAATATATCTAATATAAAATATATTTGGTCAAAATAGCATTGTGCGCTCAATTACTTTCCAATATTTTTAATAAGAACTAATTTTGAGATTTGCTAAATCAGAATTAGTTCCTATCAAAAATATATTATTGAGGCGAAAAATTATTCGCGGGCGAATCCGAATGTACTTTCGAGCCGCGATTCGCAATCTACATACATTCGCGAAATAGTCGTGCGAATTGTACGATAAGACGTCATTCATCGTTGCAATAATTTCAGTACGATAAGATATAATTCGTTGTATGAGTAAATGTTCAGTCACGAGTGGATGCTGATTATGGACCATGAAAATATCAGATCACATTCGAAAAGAAGCAGAATCAAAATTGGTTTTTTAATTAGTTTAATGCTCGATGTGTGAAAAGGATCTTTTGTTCAATTGTCCTTTTTCCGAGTAATCATGTACATCACTTTCGTTCTAGCAATCATTGAAGTTAAAATTCAGCGAAATTAAATTGATTTCCGTTATTGGATATTTCAATTAATATTTAAATAAAATAGAAAATAGTGTAAGAAAACGGTTAATAATTTTGTGCGGAAAATATTTTTCTGGTTGCAAAAGGTGTAACGATTTCAAGACATCGCTTTTGACAAACGCATTATATAAGATGATATCTTTTATCGATGGTAATGAACACTTGCGTTCTGAAATAAAACATCATATTATTATGTAGACAATGTAACTCATTTGTCGCTCGTTTGCAGCTGAATTTTCTTTACATAACCTTTATTTACAACGTCTACATTTATTACATAAGTAATCATGCAAAACTTCTTATTTGTATACATAATAATTTATTTCGATTTGAGGAAGAAACTATTTTATTTTTTTATTTTGTTATCGTAATTAAATAGGGCTTTTTATTCTTCAGTTATTTGAAGGAAAATAGAATAAATTTATAGTCCATTTAGGAGAAACTAATAATTGTTTAAAATTCGATTACATGAAACTGATTCACAGTTGAAATTAAATTAATAAAAAATAGGATGTTTCTTAATAAGTGCACAAAATTTTAGAAGATGATTCTTTGTCGAAAATTAAGGGGGGTGAAATTAGGTAGATATTTTCTACTAGTAAAAAGATTATTTATTAATTTTTTTTTAGTCTCCCGTATTGTTATAAGAGAATGAAACTAGCAACCCCTATTCAATTTTTTATTAGAACTTTTTAATGGGCCGGAATATGATCATCTAAAAATATGCATTAAAAAGTTTGATTTACTTAGAAACTTTTTTATTTCTTTTATTTTTTTTTCATAAAATTAATAGTTTTCAAGAAAAAAATAAAATAGTTATCGTGCACAGCATGATGCTAAATAGTATAGGTTTCGAATTCCGAGAAGTTAAATTTTAAAATAAAAATAAAATTAGAATAAATGTTGGGAAAAAATTGGAACAAAAAATTATAATAAAAATCTAAAAACCTAATTTTTACTCCCATTTTTGGAGTAGTGTAACTTCACAAGGAGGGAATATATTTTTATATGAAAAATCCCCTTTAATTTCCAACAAATAATCATCTCCTAAAATTGTTCACACTTATTAAGGAACACCTTGTATAATTAATTTGAATGATTCCAGTATTAAAAAATTGGTTCAACATCGAAGACGTAAAGGAATTGGACTTTAATTTCTCTCTTATCATTTATTGGTATCAGTAATTTCAAGTCTTATATGTCTACGTGGGTCGGTGACGGTATAAGGAATGCGATATCATATATATGTTGCAACGTGAAAGGTATCGGCTTTTAACGCATCCGAGAGAGAGAAGGAGAGAGACTGATTCAATCGTAATGTTTGTCGCAAACAAGTTTATATATAGCGTAAAATGGAAGCTTATATCGCTGAAATATCTCTCTCTAATCAAAGTTCAGTATAAGTTACCAGTCAGCTTCATAAAACGAGATTACGATCGTTTTAAACTCGATACGAATAACGTGCACATTTCCCTGTGTCTACGAAAATATTTTACCAGCGTCGAAGATAAGTAGAAGCGCGAGCAACGCCTAGACTTCCTCAGGAAGTTAATCCGCGACGAAAAAATTACATAATCAACGCGCGCGCGCGCGCGATTGCAGCGGATCCGCGCACCCGGTATCCGAAAACGTTAAACGGGGCCCCGACCAGGCCTAACCCGAGGTCCCTTCCTTCCGGTATCGCCGATCGCGATTGGCCGACCAGGTTCCCCACGTGACCACGCTCGTCGTGCAACGCGTTCATTCTGAAGCGGGGGAAACGGTGCCCTCGTCTCCTTTGAACACCGTGGAGAGGGGTACGTTGTCGGTTGCACTTGCGTTTCGATCTATTGTTCAGCTCGAGAGACCGGCTCCGAAGGCCGACCTCGCTCGCTCGTGCGATCCGTCGGATTTTATACTCCATCGACGTTTACTGAACGCGTAGTCTTCGTCGTCAGTCGCGTCGTGTCTCGGCGATTCTTCAATTCGCGTGTTTTCTCGCCGAATATTCTCCTATATCGTTGGTTCCTGCTTGTTAACGTTCCACGAATCTCTCCGCAGACATGGTGGCCGGTGGCAAAATGGTAAGCCGACCATTATTGGTGCGAATTGAAACTTGCATCAAGAGTGAACGCAATAAATTCTTCATAAATGTCGAGGAATATCTTAAAATTAAGAAGTTGAGATTTTATAAGAAATTATTAAATAATTAAAAAGTTATAAAATTTTATAAAAGCTTAAGGTCTTTGTAGTACTTAGCATATTTTTGAAATAATATTCCTATGAAAAGAATACAAGAATTGCCTCGGAAGAATATTCTGACTAGTCTTCTTGAGAAGTATTATAAAAAGAAACATATATATAATACATATTGTGAGGACGAGAGCCTCGAGCTCTTTACCGAGTGACGCGCTTGAATCTCATTATCTGACAACATCGTTTTATTTGCATGTGCTGTGCCGCGAAGATGAACGTGAGGGTGACGACGATGGACGCGGAATTGGAGTTCGCGATCCAGGCGACGACCACCGGGAAGCAACTGTTCGACCAGGTCGTGAAAACGATCGGGCTGCGCGAGGTGTGGTTCTTCGGTCTCCAGTACACCGACAATAAGGGCGACCTCACCTGGATCAAGCTCTACAAAAAGGTAGGATATACTTGCGTATTCGCGTCCTCTTCCCGTACTTTTGTCCTGCTTTCTAATTTACTTGCCTTTTTTCCACGTAATAAGATTTAATCCTGTGCTTTGTGATTTATCCAATGTATAACTAGCTGGAGAATCTCCAGAAAAATGAGCTCTCTCTTTTATAAAGGGAATATATAATATGAAAATTATTATAAATTATTTTAATATACATAAAATTAATATTAAAAATTATTTATTTTATTTTTTTGCAATGAAAAGAATTTTATGAATTTTGTACAATAGATAGGTAATTATTCGTATTTTATGAATAATTTAAGTGCGTTATACAACGAAGATTAAAACCGGTTATGAAGTTCTCGCTAGCTTCGTTGGCGGTTTGAGAGTGTTAGTTGCAAGCGAAATTCCATCGTGATCAATTTTCGGTGTTGATGCCACTGAAAACCGAATCCCGACCGTGGAACCGCTTATGCTGTGATCGTCGCGTGATATGCGAGGCCCACCCGCGCGTATCGACGCGTATGAATACGTCGGGAATGAATGAAAACGGAAATTGTCAAAATTATGAAGTCGGATAATATCTAATCTGATTCGCCGTTGTGTACAAAGTAACGTGTTTTGCTTCGTAAAACTATTATAACTAATCTTATGTCATAGAAATGTAATTTCATGTGTAGCGACACGTTTTGCTGTAGATTAAGAATAGTTAAGTAGTTAAATATATGGCTATATATTTTAAAATGGAAAATCTTTAAATGCAAATATTTAACGATAGCTCTTTAAGTAAGTAAATAAATAATTAAACATATATTAAATATATTTAAATATATTTTAATATATTTAAACCGATGATTTTTCATGTTTAATTTTTTCCAATTTATATTATGTTAGAAATCACCGAAGAAGTAATTTAATTAATTTAATTGAAATAAATGTATAGAAGGAAATAAGAAAACTATACATTTTGAAAGTTTCCTAGAAGAACAAATATTACTTTGAAAACAATTATTCGCGAGAACTTTTAACGTACGCGCGTTTCAAGAATTATTTAAAATTTATTATTTTACCGCAATCTTTTAAATTTATTCGCAGATAATTTTCGACTAATTTTGCATGTACTGTAGTCGCTTTAATTTATATATGTGTATCAGATTTTCGCGTATAACTCGGCCGAGCGTGCATCAGATTCACGCTTACGCGCACGTGAAGTATATGGAATTAATGCAAGAAGTAATTGCTGACTTCCTAAAGAATTGCACGCAGCAAATATCCTGGCGATATCGCGTAGAGGTCCTAAAGGTGTCTGATAGCGGAATATGTTGCGCCAATTCATACGAAACCTGTTTTTAGGCGGTTGCAATGTGGCAGGTAGACAGACAAGATTTTCTGAGATCGTATTCTCATAATGTTTCTCAACTATAAATTCTTGCGGCAATCAAAAACCTTAAATCGAATCATAACGTTAATTTAACGTTAATTTACTTATCGCATTTGCTACTTTAAAAAATTATTTTAGTTTATATTAATTTATTTATCATTTTTCTTCTTGTTCCCTAATTTATTTATTTTATTTTACGTATTTTCAATTGAAATACCTCTAATCGAATTTTCCTTAATTAACGAATATTGTATGCATCGGAGCACAATAGCTTTTTAATTAATCATTCATGCAGCAGCAGTAAAAGAGTTCTTGGTTTCTTCGATCTTAGCTCATTGGTGGCAAATGCTGATGTCATCGGTTTTCAAGTGCAAGACACATGTTGAACGTTCTTATCCTTCTTTTTTATAATCATGATGTAGCACGAATGCGGTTTTTCTGATGATTCTTATTTCTCGAAGAACGTTATAGATGCTCGCAAACTTTCCCTTTCCCGAGAATCTCTATTAAAAATTTGCAGATATTTCAATGAAATTTTTTAAAGACTCTTATTTTATTATTAATTTTAAAATTGTTAAATGTGTTTTGAGAAAAATAGATTTTAGATAGATTTTTTTTTATATAGATTTATATAAGAAACAAGTTATTTTATTTATTTATTTTTCAAATTTGTTGGATTTATTTTTTTTAAATTTATTATTTTGAAATATTTTTTACATAATTTTTTTCCAATTCTATAGGAATTTTCCTATCTAAATTTTATTTTATATGAATCTTCTATGCTTTCATATTAAACTGCGATTAAAGACATTATTAAAATCATTCGCTAAATGTGCATTTATGAGCGATACTTTCGAGAATCGCAACTTGGTCGGAAATGGGGACTCCCGATGCGTATCAGATTGACTTCGAGAAACTTTCGAAGTGTACTTTCCTTGTAAGATTTGCATCCATAAATAACCGGTTAAAAAAGAATTTGTTGCTTTTTTCATCTTTATATGTTACATTCTCTTTAATGTTTTATAAAAAATTAAATAGAACAACATTTTTTTATTTATTGTATATAATTTATTATAAAAAATCTAGGAATTTGATTTGAATCATCTAAAGGAGCTTATTGCACGAGTAGAACTATTATAAGGAAAAAGCTATAGATAAGAGTTTTGAATACATTTTAAATATATTTTGAAAATTATTATATCGTTCAAACAATTGATGACGGAATGATTATAGTTGAGAAAATTATAATTATATATCATTATGTGAAAATTGCACGTATCTCAAAACTTTTTCAATGATAAACATTAAAATTAATCGCATATGTGTCTTTTAGAAATTTTTTATTCAAATTTTTTCTATGATTACACTCGTGTATATTTTTGATTACGAATATAGGTCAGTTTTACCATCTCCGATTAACTCAATCAGCCGATTAAATTTAAGAATTGCCAAACTAACTCTATATCTTATGAAAGAAATTCTTGACATTATAATACATATAATTAAATTGATCAGCGTAATTGTTTTAAAAAATCAATACGTTTGGTGAATGACTATAGATTATTCAATTTTTTGATTTATCCGCAAATTCAAATAATTTTAATTTTCGAGTTCAGTACAGTTATTCGCAGAGCAAACCAGACACTTTATCGGCTTTCACCGGCTGGTTAGTGTCGGAGACGACGCGCCTTCACCTTGACACAGTCGCCACTTGTCGTTCAACTTGTCAGTCACCTTTTTTCCAACAGGCCAATGATTTTCACATCAGGCCTCGGCGGAAACTCATCCTTTTTAGGTTTCTTTCTAATCGTGAGCTTAAACTTTCAAACGCCTCCAACAGGAAAATGGAGAAAAACCCGACGCGACAGGTGCTTGCCAGGTGAAAATTGTCGTGGATGGAATATAGGCAAGAACTTGTAGTCTGTACGAGCCATTGAAAACCAGCTGGCATGGCAATAATTCCCGTTTAAGTAGTTTTATCTTGGCATTTTTAAACAACCGCGTCTGTTTTATAGTTTCCTCGTGTTTCTGCAGTACTAAAATTATAATCTTCGGTATTTAAAAATTATAATTTTAGTATTAATCAATTATATGCAATAAAACTAAATGCAATAATGCTAAACCTAATTTTTTTGAACGATATAATAATTTTCAAAACACATTCGAAACTTTTCTATATTTTTATCGGTGCAATAATTAATAATTTCGTCCCTATCTAACAGTAGAAATCAAATTTCTAAATTTATTGCAGTAAATTGCATGGAAATAAATCGGTCTAACAATGATGTTTCACTCTACTTAAATTTAAAATATATAAAGAAGTAAAGTAATGAATTTACTTCTTCCATAGAGTTTATCAAGATTAATATAAATCACAGTAGTTATTTTGCAATCGGCTATTCGTACATTGAACCTTGCAGTATACGTAGATATGCGTCGTCGGTAGCACACTTCCATGTGATAAATGAAAATCACAGAACTATAGTCTCTCCAACTCGACTGAATAGCTGTTAAAGAACAAAGATGGGAAAAAATATATAGGTTAACGTGTTAACATACGAGAGAAATATCTACAATCGTTTACTACTCGTACTTTTAACGAGAGAAACGCGAACTTCCTTTATGACATAAATTTTCTTTTATTAAATTAAATATTAAATATTTTAGATATATGATTTATCTTTCAAATAAGATGCATATTAAAATAAAATTCGAATCTTTGTAAAAGTAATAATCCTGAGATTATTTTAATCTTAAGATTGTTATTCACGTAGCAAAAGAGATCTTTTTCCAGTTATTTTTCTCATATTTCAGAATCTTTAAATCTGAGAAATACGTGTACAGATTGTGAAGAAAAATGAAGAGAAAAGTGTCTTGAAAGATTAAATCGTTTCTTGTTTATAGAGAGCTTTACCACAACTTCTGATGGCTTTAGATAATCTCATTTGTAAAAGCATCAGCAAGAAGATTAGATAAATTATGTTATCTGTTATATAAATATAGCAGCGATTATTATGAGTATAATACATTAATTAAATCTTGAGTCATTGTTTTTAACTTAATTTTCTAATTGCATAGCACTGCAGTAGACTGATATAGTAGTCGCTCGATAACGATGATTATCCCGATAGCATTCCTGTAATGAATCATTTGGCACCTTGTGCACGTTCTTTAAATTCTTCTCTTAATGACGAGATGATTGCACGCAGCCGGAAAGCGCGATAGCAAGGGTGGTGAAGAAGGAGGTGAAAAAGAAAGTTCGAAAGCTGAGAGGCTGCTCGGACTCGGATACAGACGACGAGTTCGACGATGGTCTGGTAAGAGCTCGATAGGACACAAACTTTTCACACGTTCCAAGGAAAGAACTCTGAGAGAGCATCTTGAAAAAATAATAATTTGACGATGATTGATTGTATGCAGGATGATTATTTTTGCATGCGGTGAGGACGATAGCGATGTTTTATGTTAAAATCTATTAAAATTGATATTTAATAAAAAATTTTTATATTTATTTATAAATATATTTTTTTTAATATTTCTTCATTTTTTTTAAAATTGTATAGATTGATTCGAAAGAATTTGTAGATAAAAGTCTATGCGTTACACTTGTAAAAAATGGATTCTC